ATTTAGTTGAACTTATGTGCTTTAAATTCGATGACGAGGAACCCACTTTGAGACCAATAATGCTTGGAGACGGCTTGAATGGGTAATGAAGAAAAACTTTAATCTAAGTTTAACATAACAGCAAATGTACAACGTCTCGACAAGGTTTTGCGGATGATGACAAAACCTTGCCGAGACGTTGTACATTTGCTGTTATGTTAAACTTAGATTAAAGTTTTTCTTCATTACCAATTCAAGCCGTCTCCAAGCATTATTGGTCTCAAAGTGGGTTCCTCGTCATCGAATTTAAAGCACATAAGTTCAACTAAATAACAGTACATGTATATTTCAGTAGAAATAGCAAAGTCCACAATAGAATATCCTGTGGTGGTATATCCAGGTAAGACTGAATTTACTTAAAGTTAATATCAATGGGGTAGGTACACTTACTAAAAGAAGATTCAGTCAAATGTTTATTATTGAGTAATTCCAAATATCTGAGAAATAACTAAACTAGACTCGTGGTAATGTAGGAAATGAACAGGCTTTGTTGATTCACAAACAAAGTGTGTGTACTTGCTTCACTGACATGGAATGGCCACTTATATTGGATTCTCTCTTTAAACTGTTTACTCATCAATATTGTTTTCCAGACTGACTAAAACCAATATTCTTTACTTTGCAAGAAATATTATACTTACCCAGAGCAACTAGCACTATCCATACGACTGGTCATTCTCATATAGACATAGGTCCTTCCATAACCTCAAGATGTCACTTGAATTACCTCTGAAGGATACTGCTGTTGACATCCTTGCACAACATCCAGCATTACAGCAAAGCCTCTCACGTGCAGAACAGTTATCATTTCCTAGATAATAACAAAAACAGAGGTAGTTTGAAGAGATGAGCTTAACTGCTTTCTCAACCATGTTCTCTGTGAAAGCTACATATATACAAAAAAAAAGAATAAATACTATAATTATATAAAAAGAAAGAAATGCATGATATTGTCACGACAGCGGAAGTCACGCGACGTTGCTGGCGCTGGTAGCGTATGTGAAATTTCTCGAATGATCGGGGAGGCCCCGAGTGCATTCGGGAGCCCTCTTTTTTAGTATATAAGCCTGGCAGATAAAGCCTGCGGGATTGAATGAAGAAAGTTCCGGGTAATTTACGATTCTGTTTCGAGCTAGTGTGTGTTTTCGAGATTGTGAATCACTGTGATTTATAGCGTGTATTTAAGTTTAAAGTTACGAGAAATGTACCGACTGTAAAATTACTATGTACTAAAAAGTTGTATCGAGAAAGAATAAACTGATCTAATCAAGAAAGGACTTGTATTGCTGAAATTCCTCGGAAAGAATTTCCACCGGAAATTAACAAACAAGCAGATACGCAATAATATACATATATATACCAGTCTTTCCAGCTATTCAATTATTGTCTGGTTGTTATAGTAATAGATACAAGTTTGAGGAGGTTGGATGAGGTAAACTGTAAGTACTTGTTCCTACACAGATGAATGAAGTCAAACAAGCCACTATGTAAGCAATCTATCTCTAGTTTCCTATAATGAGAAGTAATTAGTACAAACATCTTACTTCCATAAAACTTCATTCAGATAAAAGTATAGCACAGTTTGAAACAACTACAGAGCAATGCACCTAGGTATTACTTTCTGCTACAGGCATACACTCACAGCCCTCAGTAATGGTTGTTCTAACTGTAACTTGTAACAAAAATAGATGTTAAGAAATATTCCCAGTAAAACATTCACTACCTTCCGAAAATTTCAGCTATTTAAAACTGAAAATATTCTTTCATCAGTAAAAGTAAAAAAAAGGGGGGAACTGTATGTTTTTATGATGCAGCATATATTAATAACCACAATTTCAATCTACATATTACAATCTAATCATTT